GACGCATTAAGACAGGTCCAGGAATACTCAACCAAGTTGTTATAGAGACTCGTGATGCAGATTTGCGATGATAAGCAAATAATCGCTCGTGAGGAGTGGCATTGGTGGCCGTACATAGTAGTGATTGAATCAAGTGGAGCTTCCGGAAGAACAGATTCCCACTGAGTACATGACAGACCTTTCGATTGCGCTGCGAGAACGATAGCCCTCCCAAGAATTCCGTTTATTCTCCACTTGTCCGTTTGAGCGAGGATTGTAAGCTGTTCTGCTGGATACAATGCCGTTATTGTGAAGGAAATTCTTTAACTCCTCGGACATGAAGGACGAACCCCTATCAGAATGGATGTAGGAAGGCATACCGAAGATCAAGAATAAATTGGTGAGACGCCGGGTGACTGTAGTAGCTGATAGGTCAGAGCAGACGTAAGCAAAAGGGGAATCGAGCGTATTCATCCATGATCGTCAATAAGCATTGGTTTCGAGATTCCTACAGAAGCGGACCTTTAAAATCAATGTTCAGTCTCTTGAATTGAGCGGTGGCCTTGATCGAATTTCCGGTAGGAAATTTATAGAACCGCGGTTTCCATCTGGCACAGATTGAACAGCCACTGGTAATGGATTTCACTTCACTGACAGAGTAGGGGAGATTTTTAGTTCGAACAAAATGATGCAATTTCGCGATTCCCGGATGACACGGTGAGTGATGTAGCTGTTTGAGTTGTTTAAGTGATGTAGACATCAAGCAGACGCTACGAGGTAATGTGTCAGCCGCCACGTTTTCATGTCCACGGCGATAAACAACATCGAAGCTGTAGCTGTAATTTTATTATTTTTCATTTTACTATGGTGTCTCAAATCGAACATAAAGGCAACCGATTTTTGATATGTAATCAGTCTGAGGTGTGCCAAGCAAATAGTGTCTCTACTTCCTGATAGCTTCGACGATGGCGTTGTCCTCCTCGACAGAGGAATGATGCCCTTCAGGTGGAGATAACGTTCTGGAAAAGAAGGCAACGGGTCTACCGTTCTGTAAGAGGGTGGCCGAAATAGCTACGTCTAAGGCATCTGTTTCCATGACTGGTAGTATCTTCGGGTCGATGGTGGTGATGACTGCGTGTTCCAGTTCGCTTTTGAGCGTTTCAAAGGATATTCTGACGTCCTCTGGTAGGGAAAATGTGTTATTATGTACCAAGGAATGTATCTTGTCGGAGAATCGAGGAATCCAATGGGATTAATATGAAAATAAACCGATTGCCCGTCGTTGCGATTTGAGGTCTTTGGGAGGTAAAAGTTCTCGGAGTGATTTCAATCGTTCAGGGCCCGGTTTCATCAAACCGTGTGATACTTCGTAACCCAAGAGTTTTACTTCTTTGGTGCAGATGATAGACTTTTATTCGTTTAGAGTGACCCCATGTTTTCTAACGGCGTTGAAAATATTAGTTAGATTTTTGTCGTGATCCTTTTTGCTGGTGTAAGCGAAGGTGCCCGACAAGCTTTCCTCCTGAATGAATTTATCGATTGTTCGCTGGAAGCAAGCAACACCAATGGTCACTCCAAAAGATATTCGACAGAACTGGTACAGCTTGTCGCATGCTTCAAGGGCAGGTCGATCTTTTGCTTCTATAGCGATTTGGTGGTATGCATTTCGTAAATCTAAGGCACTGAAGAGAGCGTATCATAATAGTTTACACAATTTCGTTTATTCGCGGTAGTGAGTATGCGTCCAACAGCGTGCAGCGATTAATAGTTTGACCACCATGCGTCTCTTGTGCCGTTCATTTGTGGTTACAAGGATTTGTGCTCGCGAGGGTGAAGTTGGAGGCTCAATGATGCCGTCCTTAAGGAGTCGAGGAACTTCCGATCGAATAAATTCCTCGTCATCAGGAGTGTGGCGGCGGGATTTGGTTGCAATGGGTTTGCGATCTGGCAGCAAGTTCCCGACGAGAGATGGTGGTTCGATGCGTTAAACAGTTACGCTACAAAAAGAAAGAGGGGGTCTGTTACCCCTGAACGGGAATTCAACTGCTTTGTGGAGTTTCAGAAAATTATATCCCAGTAATAAATCCACACACAAATGTGGAAGGACCGAGAGTTTAAAATTATCCTTTGAATTGTTCTTGACTTCTATGATGTCTAGGCAGTGACCTTTCGTGTGGCTAACCAACCTCGTTGATTCCATCAAGATTGTGCTAGATAATTGCATGACCGTCAGATGGTGTCGTTTCACGAAAGATTCAGAAATATAACTTTCAGAGCTTCCGGTGTCTATCAGAGCTTCAACGGGGATCTTATTCAACGTGATTTTTTAGAGAGACTAGCCGGAGCGGAAGCTGAGACTGTGGTTGAGAGCGCCAGCATAATAGCCGAGGTGGACGGTTTCTCCGGGAGCGATGTGCAGACTCGTTTGAAATATCCTTTCTTCACACAGTTACTGCAAACTGCGTCCTTAGCAGGACATTTGAAACGAAGGTGTCTGTCGTTTCCGCAAAAATAACATTTGGTTTTGACCGCGGTTGACGTTTGCACAGGTGGGCTGTTGCTTTACTTAAGACTTTCCTTGAGAATTTCTATGGGTTCAGATGAACCTGAAGATGCTGCTGTATACGATATTGGTGGTGTCTGAAAAGCATTTGACTGTTGTGCCATTTCAAGTGATCAAGCTAGTTCTAAGGCGGTCGGTAGGTCCAGACACCTGTTTTCAAAAAGATGCTGTCGCATAACGCTTGACTGCATCCCGATTATGAAGGTGTCTCGTATGATTTTGTTCCACCTTGAAGTTACAAT